TATAGATTAACGTGATGCTACCTGTAGATCAATGTACTACGTATAGATTAACGTGATACTACCTGTAGATCAATGAGATACTACGTATAGATTGACGTGATGCTACCTGTAGATCAATGAGATACTACGTATAGATTAACGTGATGCTACCTGTAGATCAATGAGATACTACGTATAGATTAACGTGATGCTACCTGTAGATCAATGTACTACGTATAGGTTAACGTGATACTACCTGTAGATCAATGAGATACTACGTATAGATTAACGTGATGCTACCTGTAGATCAATATACTACGTATAGATTAACGTGATACTACCTGTAGATCAATGAGATACTACGTATAGATTAACGTGATGCTACCTGTAGATCAATGTACTACGTATAGATTAACGTGATACTACCTGTAGATCAATGAGATACTACGTATAGATTGACGTGATGCTACCTGTAGATCAATGAGATACTACCTACAGATTAACGTGATGCTACTTGTAGATCAAGCTGATACTGCGCATAGATTAGCGTGATACTACCTTTAGGTTCACGTGATACGATCTATAGATTAACGTGATACAAGCTATAAATTGATGTGATACTTGCTAAAGCCTAATGTGATACTACCTATAAGTTTATGTTATAATCCCTTAAGTTGATGATATGCTACCTATAAGCGAATATGTCTAATCTGATACTATCTATAGGCGAATAGGAAAGTGGCAGCTTGAACATTTGACATAAAAATATGTATTTATCTATAGAAGAATATGCCGTTATCTAAAACAAAATATGATACCATATGTTGAGGGGTATATAAAAAGTATGTATTTTTTCTATAGAAATGTATGTCTGTAGAGGAGGAAGTCAGTCTCACAGTCTCTGAACCACATTATTTTCTCTACCTCCTAAACCTCCATGCAATGCTGAAGCAAGTCTAGACTCCCCCAGGTTCTGAATTTCCCATCTGACTGGGTCCTTTTTGATTTAAATGAATTATTTGTTACTGCCAAACTTAAATATATTAAGAGACTAAGATTAAATATAATTAATTTTATTCAGAGAGTAAATATATATATTCAGAGACTAAGCATTAGTCTAGTAGAGGAGGGTGCTTTATTTGTTTTTATACAACTTTTCTGGTACATAGCTGGAGATGCATCTAAGCGTTAAGAAATGCCACGACCTGAAGCAACCTGTCGGGACGTACATTATACATGGTCCAGCAAATGCTCACCACATCACACTGTGGTTCCAGCACGTCAGATGCTGTCAGGGATTACTACCAAAACATCCATTTACATGATAGTTGTGACGTAGGTTTTGTCAGATCGTTGAAAGGTTTGCTATTTTCAGAATTATGACATTCTGAAACAGCTCCCCTGGGTACTAGGAATAAAATACATGTATGTTTAAATGTGAATTTCAGTTCTATATCATGTATACGCGATATACATATACTGCCGTTATCTACCGGCTGATGTTGATCTCTGTCACAGTTGGAGAGATTCAGTTGGTTTCAGTGTTTTGATTTTCGTATCACAGATTTGTTTGTCAACACACAATATACCGACATTAATCACTTCAGGCTATGGTGGTTGGCAAGATACTGGGCTTATTACTTGCCAAAATAGGGTATATCATGGAACATCATATTTGTCACTACTGTAGATTAATACATAATGCCAGTTTTTTTATTGATTCGTTATTCCCATGTGATCTAGATTTATAAAGTTTCCGTGTGTCTCATAAATAGACTTTAGATTAAGGTATTACTCATTATGAAGGTATTTGCATTAATCTGCATGATATGATAATCCGACACTCGATCAGCTCTATTCTGAAGTCATATTGGTATTTGAAGGGTAGCTTGTTACAGTGAAATTCCGTCTATGATAGAAACTGCATTCCAGGGTGAAACAAACCAAATATACGAATATTTAACGACTGACACACCCACTGTCTTCTATATGTTTAACGATGAAGAAGTACTACATTTTGCGGAGCATGCCTTCACAAACGTGCACACATGTTAGTTTGTTCTTGGCAATCATAATTCAGACTTCAGTGTATACTGGATTGTGATTGGTTAATTAAAGTCAGTCAGAGGTATATAATCACGTTATATACCTCTGATTTTCCAACACAGTGTGTATTTTTAAAAATCTTAAAAACGCGGTTATGGTGGAATGGAGATAATTATACTGTGTTGGAAAATCAGGGGTATATAACGAAATTATAATAGCTCTAAATTTGATTTAAAACCGAACGCGTAGATAATTATAACATGTTGATGCTCTCTTCCACGTCAGGTGTTTACCAGAAACAGGTATGTCGACTATGATTTATATTAGAGAAGGACAGTTGGGGTGAGAGATTCACCAATTTTGTATTACTATTTGAGAAATGTTATTTACATGAATCTGACCGTGGGGGCTTTCACGAATACAATACAACGAAAGCAAAATAATTGTTAACATTAATTATTTATTCGATGACAAAATGGATGGCATCTTTAAGTGTGCACATTCTAACGTGTATACATCGGTTACCTTAGACTAGTCTCTACGGTAATAAGTTTAAAAGATAATTTCTGAAAAAATATAAATAAGAGAATGGGGCCTTAGACTGGGGTCCTACCTGTTTAAAGGATAGCATTACTATACATGCATGTGCGCAGCACTCCGTACAGCTTTGGAGCAAGGCTACAGTTACCTACATAAACAAGCTCTTTGGACAATGGCGACCCAGCAAATCTATTTATGTACTGCAAATGAGATGAATGATATGATATTTGTCATTTAATTAAATTAATATATTTCGGTCCTGGTTATTTCATATGAAGTAATTTATTTACCATCCACACATCATTGTCTTATTTCATCACCACCATTTGTTTTGATTAAAGAATTATTCTATCTTTCAATAACTAATAACTGTGAGATCAACGCTATCATTTGTCTCTTATGGTTGCTAAACTCGTCTTGGCGCTGAGCACGCCATTCTTCTTGATGTCTAATTTCATTTTCCCTCAGTATCAATTCAATCAAAATTATGGCTTCATGCCCAAACTATCAAAGGTTGTTTTGTTTACCATATTTTAAATTCTTATGGAAGACATGCGACAAAAACAGACAGGTAAACATGAACTCAAACTGCTAAACTTGGCACCACCTTTCGTTTGAAGCAAGAATGATTAAATGGATTGCGATTGCCCTGGATATACTGCATATGCGGTTATAGAAGTAATAATAAATTCGATTACGATCAAACATATAACACATGTCCATTTAACATGTAAACATTTGGTAATATCTTCTTTTTTAAATTTTTTTTTGTTATTCATTTGGTAATATCTTAGTAGTATCTTTGTAACGGAAGTATGATTCCTGGTTTAGTTTAATGTCAGTTTTAGTACTTTGAGATAACTTGAGCATTCATGAATGTATTCGAAGCGGATAGTTGTTTCCAGAGCAATAGAATTGAAAGCCGAGCTTGTTGCGAATTCTGAAAAAAGTTGAAGGTAAAGAGGTAACTTACATTCCAGACGTATATTCCGTGGGGTGGCGAAAGCATTGGATTTCCTACCGGGCAAACAAAGTTGAGATGGTGTTCTCCACGAGTTATATATGTATCTTGAACTATGCATTGTTAGGGGATGGCCGGACCACCCAAAAGAAGATGCATCTGATTCACTTAAGTATCGTGTGTACGAATATATATATAATGATAACTTCCTGTCACCCTATGCAAATAGTCCACTCAATGTCATTTATTGAAAAAAGGCAAAAACGCTATCACCTGTAATGTGAGCATTGACGCATGCGCGAATGATGTATAGATATACAGAATACATTAGCCGATCAGACGTTGGACGAATGCTTTGTGAGGTGCGAGAACAGGTGTGAAATGCCGGAAGAGGCGCAAGGCACGACACATCACAGAGGTGACAGCGCATGTCATCATATCCCTACCGGTGCAATACCCGCTATCGTCTTCCGGCTCCCGGACAGACATTTTCCTCCGGCTAACATACGATTTCCATAATAGGTTCACGATTTGCACTGCGTATTCCACGATTCCTGGTGGAGTAACTTACCTGATTCTAATGCACCTTTTGATATCTGAACCGTTTCCTGACAGTGTAGGCTTGGATAAGCGATCGTGACCTTATTTGCATACATTATATATACAATGGCACCTATGGTCCACAAATGCTTCAAATATGTCTATTTCTTAATCTAAAATCAGTAACATGTCAGACCTTGTATTTCACATGCTTCGTCGTACTTCACCTTCTTACAACCAAGAAATGTAAATAAATAAAAAAAACGTTAAAAAGCCAATGTGTACTTTTCAGACTGTTTCGGATTACATAAGCGTATTGAAAACAAACCGCTTTGTCGCTGTTTACTGTTAGGCGTCGGACTGCTTGGTGCAGGGTCTATCCATGTTTCCATGTATAGAGTGACATTTCACGGAGATGAAATTGTGAAACAAAAGTGGAAAAAAGCCTGTCAAATTTCTTCAATGTCTTTACAAGAAAAGAAAGCCTCTGAACGAAAGGCCACCTTGATGAACGAAGGTTTCTCAGATACATAAACTCTTACATGCACACGAAAGCATTTAGACGTTGATAGACACATCGCGATAATACTGCTCCAAGACACGCCCTTTGACTATATACACATGGCGTTATTACGCACACATATGTAATGCAGTCATGACGCCGCATTCAGCAACATTCCAGCTATATGGCGGCGTCTGCAAATAATCAGGTCTGGACCAGACAATCCAGTGATCAACATCATGATCATCGATCTACGCAATTGGGATACGATGACATGTGTCAGCGAGTATGACCACCCGATCCCGTTAGTCGCCTGTGACGACAAGCATGGGTTGCTGAAGACCAATTCTAACCCGGATATTCACGGGCCGGTTTGTAAACAATCACATGGGGGCCAAGATAATCTATTGATAGACAACGAGAGGTATCTACCAATTTGGGATTCGATGACATACGTAAACGTAGCATCATCAGCAAGCATCATCGTCCGCTCCCGTCAGTCTCCTCTTACGACATGGGTTGCTGTAGACAATTTCTTACCCAGACAATACACATTAAACTGACTGACTGACTGAGTTTGGTTTTACGCCGCTTTTAGCAATATTCCAGCAACATCACGGCGGGGGACACCAGAAATGGGCTTCACTCATTGTACCCATGTGGGGATTCGAACCCGGGCCTTCGGCGTGACGAGCCAACGCTTGAACCACTAGACTACACCACCGCCCTCAATACACATTAAAACCACAATGAATGCATATAGCAATTTTGAGCTCACTGACGCTTCATATGCACAATGGCGCATCACACGCATATTTTACAAGATAGGGGCGGTGGGGTAGCCTAGTGGTAAAAGCATTCGCCCGTCTCGCCGAAGACCCGGGTTCGATTCCCTACATCGGTACAATGAGTGAAACCCATTTCTGGTGTCCCCCGCCGTAATATTGCTGGAATATTGCTAAAAGCGGCGTAAAACTAACCTCACTCACTGTCCCTGATTAATATTTCCATCAGTGCTTTGAACCATCGCATGTGTCTATGTACTGAGCTATTTCTAACAAAATTCTGATAATCATGCTCTGGAATTAGAGGAAAATGATATATATTTGCCCTAACAAAGAACACCGACCCGACCAACACAGAAGATGTGTGAAATACATAAAAGGTGATATTTTTAATCTATATATGGTTAGACAGGTTATTGCCTACAGAACACATTCGCTAACCTGCTATACGTCTTCGTTCAAGAGCACTTCAATACAACTGTAGCGTTGTTTATGTATTGGATATTCCCAAATTCAATTCCACAATTATTCCATGTATATATGTCCAAACGCCTTTATTTATATGTTATTGTTTTACATATAGCAAATGAGCGAGTGTAGTTTTTCGCCGCTTTTAGAAATATTCCAGCAATATCACGGCGGGAGACACCAGGAATGGGCTTACCACATTGTACCCATGTGGGGAATCGAACACGGGTCTGCAGCAAAATGAGCGAACGCTTTAACCACTAGGCTACCCCGCCACCCATACATATAACAAATTATACATGTACTAGTTGCGTGGATATGTTCGCTATATAAATATCCTATCCTATCATATCATGTATATACGGACTGCTAAAGGTCAATGGCATGCACGTATATCGTATAATTAGTCCACATGCACCTGTATGCAAAAATATAAAATAGATATATAACAAGTTACGATTACAATGCTCTTCATATACATGTATAGGTTGAATGTTGAAAGTATGAATATATTGTTTTGTTTAAAATTTCAAATATTGTTCTTGGTTAGTACCCATGAGTAGGTATTAATACCTAATATAGGCTTTTTTTGTCTGAAAAATATCATTTTCTACATATGTATGACTACATGGCGGCGAGTCTGGAACAGCAATCCACGTCATGAGCATCGATCTACGCAATTGGGATACGATAACAAGTGTCAACCAAGTCAGCGAGCCTGACCATCCGATTGCTTTAGTCGCCTCTTAAGACAATTCTAACCCGGATATTCGCGGGGAGACAAGCATGGATTGTTGTAGAAAAAAGCGACGTAATACTACACTCACTCACACACTTGTACGAGAGAGGATAGCACAATTTTTGTCAAACGTCTGTCCTTTGCGACAACAGTTATTGCAGGAGAGAAGTTGTGTGTTGAGTTGGGCTTTACGTCACATCGGCATTATTCCAGCCACATAGTGACGAAATCAAGTCTCTATTCATAAACCTTTTAAGTCCATGGTCCAAATCTGTTATATTTTAAAAACATATATATTCATGACATTATTATATACATATATATTTCCATATTCTTAAAATATTTGCTATTTTTGGTGTTTGCTATGCTTTCGTGTAATATATAGCAGGACGTTATATTAGGGTTGGGTGTTTGACATGCTATTGTTCGTGATTTAGTTTGGAAATAATCTAAATATGGAAATCCGGCTGTTCTATAATTCTGAAAAAAATGTAGGATTATAAAGGATGACGAATGCTTGAATAATATTATCTCTGTCAGGTCAGGTTCCCATGGATATGGTCATGCAGAACGTCCGTCATTTACCCTCCTAATGTTAAAATAACCATAACAACAAATGCCTGTGGGCACTGTATGCATGGATGGTTGCTCTGGAAGACGAACAGTTGTCATCTGGTCACGTGTCTCTGACCCTGACGGTGTTGATGACCCTGGCGGCCATCTTGCAATGCTGTTGTGAACACTGCTTTGTGACGTTCATGACGTCAGTATTGATAGCGTTTCCTTGAAGATTCATCATTCTTTCGTATTTTAATTTAATTTAGTCAAAATTCACATCCTTTCAGAGTGTGAATATTCACTGAGTAGATGGATATATTAGGATTCAGGAACAAGTTTTTATATTAATTGTCTTTTAATCACGTGATTTGAAACATTCCACAAGTGCATTGTGGGGCCGAGCTAACACAACAACGCAAACACAGCCGAAGTTTTGTGTCGCTGGTCTATGTGACTTGAGGTGTTTTCTGTACAAAAGTTGCAACTTTGCTCCCAACAATGTCAGCAAAACTGCATTGTCTACCAAGCCTTGAAATAGTGGGCTACAAGATACAGAACCCGACGTGAGTTGGCGGCGTGTTGTGACGTCGACTGGGAACGAACATGACGATCGAGGAAGGGCAACATCCGTCGTACTGTTGACTTGAGTGTTTTGCTTAATGCCCTGATATTCTTCAAGGGTTTCTCAGGTCTGTGTCCACAGACAGACCTTATTCCTTGGGCACAACATTTCACCAATTCTAATGTTCCCTTGGCACGTGCACATTGGTTTGAGTATGTTTCTTAGTATGAGAAGTGGTTGATATCATATTGCTATATTTCTTATGAAGCAATAACGTCCAAATGTTCATCAATATATATAGAGATATTGTTTAACCGATGGTTGATGGGGATGCACCGTCTTGTTGTAATGAAACCACAATGTTACCAACAATACCTTATATTAACATTGGAAAAATGAACAAAGTTTTAGAAATCGTTTCACATTATATACTTTCAATGTATCTTTTTCAATGCATCTTCTCTTCACTCACAGGCAAACGTTAGCGCAAATAGGTTTGTGCAACAAAGATAAAATAACCAGTCTTCCAATATGCGAGCAGAGCGAGCAAAGGTTGACAACGTACTTCCCTCGCTTCGGTTCGAAAAATGTTTTTAATATCAAAATAAATATCGCCGCCATCAAAGGTTTGTGCTCTCAGATTTCCAACCTCATATTTAATAATTACTCACGTACAATATATTTCATTCAATATTTTAAGCGCCACTTGTGGCAAATCAAATCGTTCTTCTCCCCCATTACCCCCGCCGGGAACTGGTTCAACGGAGTGAAGGAACAAGAATAATCAGAAATAAAACAGAAATATCATATTGCTTAATTTTACCATTCAACTGTTGGAGATTATTTTTTATCTGCCGTACAAAACAACACTTCTTGGGAAGTGGGTGAATGAAAGCAAGGGAGGGAACTTCGCAAGTATTCCATATAGGGGACATGTGATTCAACAAGTATATTTTAGATTTATCTCCCCTGTTCCCTCACTCCGTTGAACCAGACGTTGGCAGGGGCTATATTAAAAACATTTTTCGAACCGAGGCGAGGGAAGTACGTTGCCAACCTTTGCTCACTTCGCTCGCATATTGGAAGACTGGTAATTTTCTCTTTGTTGCGCAACCCTATTTGCGCTACAGTTTGTCTGTGCTTCACTGAAGGTGATCCGGACCGTCCAACCTTAAACTGACAACTCATGTCGTATGCGCAATGCGAGGGGTGCGTGTTGCTATTACATCTAAAGACAGTGAACCAGTATAGACTTCCCCTTTTTGAATCGATAACGTTAACACTTTTGTGAGGACTGAAAAATGATATATCTGTATACATGTCTTGGTACAAAGATGCAAGCTTTTCATTACATATGCATGTTATTGACCTTTTGGAGTCGTTATATACATGTATAAGTATAATCTGTATGTACAATCAGTACAATCTGAAGGCAATAACGAGTCAACATATAAAGATTAAAAACATCACCCTTTTATGTATTTCACACATCTTCAGTGGTAGTCATGGTGATTTGATGGGACAAATATCAGTCATTTACTTCTATTTTCAGAGCACGACTATCTTACTTAGTGCAAGAAGACACATATTTGACCAGGGTCTCGATCGACAAAACGTTCGTAGTGCCAGTTAAAGGTATTCCGTTGTAAACGACCGTTTTGTAATGAACACTGAGCAGGGTTACGCATAAACTTGGCTCTGTCTTTACATCTCACAAGTAATTACAGCGCACCTTAAGTCGGGAACCACATCGAAAGCGAGAAGTTGGACACTCGCTTAGTAACAATTCAAAAGGAGAGTTAACGCCCTTCGGAACAAAACGATCGACCAGCGTTTCCGATTTAGCAGCAAATCCTTCACAAGATAAAGACAAATACTACAAACAAGAAAATGGTTTTACTCAAGTTCTTTATTTCACACGGGTATCACAGCTGTCTTCTGGGTCTTGATCCACAAAGCGTTCGTAACGTTACGACCTTTCGCAACTCTGTAGTTTATCATAAGCTTAGAAATGTAGCGCTACGAACGCATTGTGGATCGGGACCCTGGCTAGCTATTCTCGAAACGTTCGTAGTCTTACGAACTTCTTAAGCCCATTCTTAACACATTGGCTACGATCAAAGTTACGAGCTCCTAGGGCTACGAACGTTTCGAGAATAAGGGCCCTGGGTCCCGATCCACAAAACGTTCGTAGCGCTACGTCATTCGTAAACCTATGATAAACTATAGAGTTACGACATGTCGTAACGTTACGAACGCTTTGTGGATCGGGACCCAGTACCTTAAATCTGCAGTCTTTCGGAGACTGTTTTCAACCTGATAACGTTTAGATTTTCCTTTTGCCAAATCCAGGTGTATACTTTCTTTCGAACGTCAGTTCACACTCAACAGTCAGCAGACAGGAA